CTAGAAGATCATATGAAGAAGAATTGCTATAAGTGGCTCGAGGAGCAGGGCAAGAGCAATTCTCAGTCGAAAAATAGTTCTCAGCAGAAGAACAAAGGCAAAGGTGGTGAAACCCTTATCACTGTCTCAGGTGATGTAGCATATTGCTCTACTCATGGTGAGACATGTCTTCATGTCTCAAGAGAAGACATGGAATGGGTGGTAGATACTGCAGCATCCTATCACGTTACTCCCAACAGGAAAAACTTCACAACATACTAAGCTGGAGACTTTGGATCGGTGAAGATGGGAAATTAAAGTTCCTCTAAAATTGCCGGAATTGGTGATATCCAGGCAGCGACAGGAACCGGGAGTACAATCATATTGAAGGATGTCAGACATGTGTCGGATCTTAGGCTGAATCTTTTGTCAGTGGTGGCTCTTGACAAAGAAGGATATAAAAATCACTTTGGCGCATGCACATGGAAGTTGTCAAAGGGTGTTCTGAAAATTGCCCAAGGACATATTTGCGGGACACTGTACAAAATGCATTTGATGATCAGTGCAGAAAGTCTCAATGTTACAGAGGAAGTTTCCCAGGATCTATGGCACCAGAGACTCGGCCATATGAGTGAGAAAGGGCTGACTACCCTGATGAAGAAGGATCTTATCAATGTTGATAAGAGTGGGGCGATGGGTTCCTGCAGTCATTGCCTGTTCAGCAAGCAGCATAGAGTCTCATTCAATACCAACTCAACAAAGAGATCAGAGTTGTTAAGCTTGGTACACTCTGATGTTTGCGGTCCCATGGAGGTTGAATCACTGAGTGGAAGCAGATATTTTCTGACTTTCATTGATGATGCTTCTCGAAAGGTGTGGGTATATTTTCTGAATACGAAGGATCAGGTATTTGAGTACTTCAAGTCATTTCACGTCATGGTGGAACGTGAAACAGGAAATAAGCTAAAATGTCTCCGATCTGATAATGGAGGCGAATATACTTCCAAGGAGTTCGATGCATATTGCAGGACATATGGCATTCGACATGAGAAGTCAGTACCACGTACCCTTCAGCACAACGGTTTTGCTGAAAGAATGAATCGGACTATCATGGATGGTGTCCGAAGCATGATGAACATGGCTAAATTACCAAAGCCATTTTGGGGAGAAGCTTTCAAGACCGCATGTTATCTGATCAACCGATCACCTTCAGTTCCATTAAATTTTGAAGTTCCAGAGAGAATATGGACTGGTAAGGATCCGTCATACTCACATCTCAGAGTATTTGGTTGTGTAGCATATGCCCATGTATCCAAAGAGCTCAGAAAGAAGCTCGATGCGAGGTCAATCCCCTGCATTTTCATTGGTTATGGAGATGAAAAGTTTAGATACAGATTTTGGGATCCAAAGGAGAAAAAAGTGATCAGAAGTAGGGACGTTGTGTTCCAAGAAATTTGACAATAGAAGATATCGAGAAGCCCAAGATGTCTCAGAAGTCAAATATGGGCACTCAAGTTTCAGATGAAGCACCAGAATTATTCTAGAGAAACAATGAAAATGATGTACACGAAGATGAGGAGGAGATAGAAGAGAGTGCAGGGCAAGGGGAGCAATAACCCAGCTTGCCAGAGCAAGGGGAGCAACAACCCGTCTTGTCAGAGCAAGGGGAGCCACAACCCATTTTGCCAGACACCAATGTTGGAAGTTCTTCTCAGATGGTTATACCCACTCGTAGATCTGAACGGGGTCATATACCATCAAAAAGGTACTCATCATCTGAATACCTTCTATTGACAGAAGATGGAGAACCAGAGAGTTTTCAAGGAGCCATATCTCATAAGGATAAAGAAAATGGATGGCTGCGATGCAGGAAGAGTTAGATTCTCTGCAGAAAAATCAAACTTATGAGATAGTTAAACTTCCAGAGGGGAAAAATGCTTTGAAGAACAAATGGGTGTTCAAGATGAAGAAGGATGCAAATGGACAAGTGGTGAAACACAAAGCTCAATTGGTTGTCAAAGGCTTTCAGCAGAAGAAAGGGATTGATTTTGACGAGATATTTGCACCAGTTGTGAAGATGACCTCAATTCGAGTCATACTTAGCTTGGCAGCAAGTATGAATTTGGAGCTTGAACAGATGGATGTGAAGACATCTTTTCTTCACGGAGATTTGAATGAAGAAATCTATATGGAGCAGCCAGAAGGTTTTGAGGTTTCAAGTGAGAACCTTGTGTGCAAGCTATCTAAAAGCTTGTATGGTCTGAAGCAAGCACCAAGGCAGTGGAATAAGAAGTTTGACTCATGCATGAAGAGTCAAGGTTACAAGAAGACTATTGCAGATGAGTGTGTTTATATCAAGAGATATTCAGACGGAGCTTTCATAGTTCTTCTACTTTACGTCGACGACATGTTGATCGTTGGAAATGATGCAGAGAAGATAAGTCAGCTGAAGAAAGAACTTTCCAAGTCTTTTGATATGAAAGATTTGGGAAAGGCTCATTAGATTATGGGGATGCAGATTACTCGAGACCGAGATAACGACAAGTTATGGCTATCTCAAGAGAAGTATATTGAACGAATACTTGAAAGATTCAATATGAGTAATGCCAAACCAGTGAGTATTCCCCTTGCGAATCATTTCAAGTTGAGCAAAAGATCATGTCCAACATCACCAAGGAAGAGATGGGGGAGATGTCTGCAGTGCCATACTATTGAGCAGTTGGAAGTCTGATGTATGCAATGGTGTGTACAAGGCCAGATATTGCTCATGCAGTGGGTGTAGTGAGTCGTTTTCTTTCTAACCCAGGGAAGGAGCATTGGTAGGCTGTCAAATGGATTCTCAGATACTTGAAGGGTACTTCTAAGTTATGTCTTTGTTACGGGGGAGCTGATCCAGTCTTGGAAGGATATACTGATGCTGATATGGCTGGAGATATTGATTGTTGAAAATCTACTTCGGGCTATGTCTACACTTTTGCACGGGGAGCCATTTCTTGGCAATCAAGATTGCGGAAGTGTGTTGCTTTATCCACAACAGAAGCTGAATATATTGATGTCGCTGAAGCTGATAAAGAAATGTTGTGGCTAAAGCGCTATCTCCAAGAACTTGGGATTAAACAAAAAGAGTACAAGGTATATTGTGATAGTCAAAGTGCTATTGACTTAAGCAAGAACTCTATGTACCATGCCCGCACAAAGCATATTGATGTTCGGTACCATTGGATACGCGATAAGATTGATCAACAGCTGTTGAAACTAGCAAAGATCAATACGAAGAAGAATCCATCAGATATGTTAACAAAAGTGGTTACACTGGATAAGATTAAGCTATGCAGAGACATAGTAGGAATGTTTGTTTAGAACTTGCATGGAAAGGGGAGAATTGAAAGTTCCATGCAACACACCATTCTTGAAGCACACCAATGAAGAAGAAGAAGGTTAGCCATCTACCATCCACCTACCTTCTTTCACACACATTTTCATCATAAGTGTGCTATACACCTTCACCAACTCTTCTCATTCACACATGTTGTCAATGGAGGTGTGCTACTTCTTGCCTATAAATAGGCTTGTTATTTCATTCAAATCATCCTTGAGAGTGATCAATCAACCTAGAGAGTGTTGAAACACAACCAAGAAAGAGTTGTGGAGTGTTTTGAGAGTTTTTTGTTTAGAGTTTGTAAATCTCTTGTTTCTGTTCTTGTGAGTAATAGAAACTTATTTTTCTCTCAAATTATGTTTATGATATTGGGTGATACCACAACAATATACTGGACGTTTTTCGAAAAATTGTCACCATAACATACTTAAAAATGAAATTTAGCCTACTATGCGGTAACACATAAGGGTTTGTGATTACTATATGTGTCCCTGGAATTCTTGATTTTTATAAAAATTATACTGTTGAACTACAAGATAAAATTACACCAATTCACAAGCATGCATTGATCATACCAACCCAACAACAAATAAATTATTTACAGCGTAGCAAATTTTATAAGTAAACTCACCTGGATTCTGGATTGATAACAGCAAAAACAGAAGAGACATATGTTGAGGCTTGACTCCTCAAACACCTACATTAAGTCAAGATCCTATAATCAACATTTATCTTGACTTAAACGGAAAACACAATCATACTTAGTCGAACTTGATTCGACTAAGTTGTTCGTGAAGTCCTGTGGATATTGGAACACTTGGACTCGACTCGACCAATTAAGAGCAAATACACCAATTCAAGAAGGTCGGGGAACCTAATGAGTTAAGTTCTGAAACTTTAACATAAAATCCATCTCATTGGACATAACAAAACCACCAAGTTTCAGCCTAAAAATTATACACAACTTTATAAAATTCGTACACGATTTCAGCATAAACGAGCATGAAATTCAAAGCCAGACTAATGAACGAATTAGCACATGAGATTTTTACTTGAACAAGTTCAACATTTAAGGATCTACATATAAAAATTCCAGCAATTAACATCAATTACGCAATTTATGAAAATTCATACAAGATTCAGCAGTTTATAAAATTTTAATACAAACCGAATCAATTCCAACTCCAAAATTCTAATATTTTAACAGCATGCAACTTCACATAAAAAAAACACCTCAGCCAAAAATCATAATTTTCCAGCCATTAACCAATTTATCATAATTAAAACACTTTTCAGCAAAAAAAATAAACGAATTATTTACCCTATCAATCTCAATCCAAAAATTCTAAAAATTTTATTCAGGAACCAAATCAAGAATAATGACATCATATTAAAATTTCTTGAATTTTGGAGCACTTCACAATTTATTATAAATTTAACATGAATCTGACCAGAAATATCTATAATTTTTAAAAATAGCTACAGACCTCCAGAAATTGTGAAATTTGTATACGAGCTATATAACTACCAGTGGCGTAGACAATTAAAATTTTACAGCAATCGGACCAGTATACAATTTATCGTTAATTAAATACGATTCAACAGCTAGTTTAGTTTCAAAAAATCATATAGGACCCGAAACACACCCAATTCGTCCGAGGCCTTCGCCATGAGGCCAAGGACTCGACATAGTTCCAAAATCCACAGTCCTAATACATATTTGATAGGATCTCGCACAATTTCACACGATTTCACATTAATCAATAAAATCCCTACATAAAATAGCGAAATAACTTCAAAGCTCGAAACACATATATAAACGAGAGGGTAATCGAGCTCCTGTACTGTTCTCGGAATTAGTACGAGACGACTATCAAAATGATTGCCGAGACGGGCTGTTCGGAGGCCGGGAGCACGCTCGTCGGGCTCAACATCAACAGCTCGGGGGGGTGGCGTGTACGTAGTCCTGCGGGGCTGCTCCGGCTCGCTAGGGATGCTGGAAAACAATCGCGGAGGTGCCGTAGGAGAGCCAAGACTTGCTGGTGGTGCTCGACCAAAACGAAAAGGCTCGCGGTGGCGGCTTGCAACCCGACGGAGGGTGACGATGGCGCTGCGGAATTGACCACGTTGGGGTTCACCTGCGGAGGTTGGGACTCACCGGCTAGATAGAAGACGCGGCGATCACAGTCTTGCGAGGGAGACGACATGCACCGATCTTTGGTCAGGTAATGGGATGTAACGCCCCACTTTTATTTACCGATAATCAGAATAAATTTTTCGAAATTTATTTTCAGAAATAATATTTGAGGCGCTACTCATTTTCAAAACAATAATCAATACTCATCAATTTCTCAATACTCAGAAATTATCAATACACATAATCAATAATATAATCTCAATAATGATATAATAATCCAATAATGATCTAGGGAAATAATCCCTATCAATAATCCAGTATTCCAATACTAGAAAATAATAATCATTAGTAATGCAATAATATCCAAGTTCAGTTCAAAGTAGAAGCATTTATTAAAATTAAAGACCACCACTCGCATCCCTTCCGTCGTGCCGCTCTATCTAACCTGCATCCATGAAGAGCAGGTGGGGATGAGCACAAGAAGAAAAGTAGTGCTCACCAATATGCAATAAATATTATTTACAATAATGAAACAATAATCAATAATCAAAAGGTATGGTCTCAGCATGTATACGAAACAATAATCTATCCCATTCTCTCATCAATAATCACAATAATCAGACTCATGTGCACACCTACGCATAGACTACTGCTGATACTCGATTCTAACGCCAAGACCTACGACTTGGTCTTACAACGATGCCCAACCAGTAGGAGTAAACCACCCCGCCGGGCAAAACCTACAAATTGGTCTTACAATCGGGGATCACCAGCCAGAACCTACGCCCTGGTCTTACGGCTCTCAAGGGAGACTACCCAACGGGTACGTTCTATAGCTACGGGGATAACCGTTCGATGGCTGTTACAGCTCACACCGAAGGCTACATGATTCACATGCATACCTTGATCAAACCACAATTAAAACAGTAGTGACATTTAAGGCATAGTAATTTTTACAATTATAACCCACCTGGAAATTTCGGTAGAAAATGGCACACAAAAGCAAGTATGTAGGATGAGGCTCGACTCCTCAAACACCTACATTTAAGCAAGATAATTTATCAATAATTTGTCTCACTACTCGATTTTAAAACAAAACCCATACTTAATAAAAATTAAGATTTACTGGTTTTGATCGAATTTTTCGTGGACTTGGAACTCTCTAATTTTTGAAAAATATGACTCGGAGAAGTAAATTGGAGTCTCGAAACCTAAAATATTTTTTCCCAAAATTTTTCTCATTTTTAAAATATTTTTAAAATTTAAATTGGTATTAAAACGGGCTCTAGAACACAAAATTTGGCTAAAAGCCGAGTTGGGACTAGCTGGAATTTAATTCTCAAAATTGGACCTCCTGAACTCAAGAAATTTGGGCCAACACAAGCAATTGGGCCGCGCATTTAGAGCATGAACAAGGAGGTCTCCATGCGGGCTGGGCAGCGGGTTCGCGGGCTAGCAGCTGCTGAGGGAGACGGGCCGCGCGCGGGCTGGACTCGGGATTTATGGCCCGCGCGCTGAAGCTGGCCTTTAATAAAACAAAAAGGCAGCTATTTACGCGAGAGTTGGGGTAGAACCAGCGACCTCTCGCTCAGAATAGGCTAAGGAGGCCACTGCGCCACTCGCCACTTTGCAACATTTAAGGAAAACTTTAAGTAATAATTAAACATTAAGTCTGGGACCTGGAAACAACATAGTACAGAGCTGGGAAGAAAAAAAAATGCAGAGGCTCGCGAAAATCGATCGGCTTGGACCAAAACTCGACCAAAACTTGACGACGACGAATCCAACGGTAACCGTGGTTCAAGAATTTACAACATTAAAGAATTAAACATATTTTCAGAGTTCGAAATGCTTGTAAAAACCGGGTTTCTGGACGATTAGACAATACGATATTCAAGACTCCAAATAATAGATCGAGACTCCGAAACAACAAAACAGGACTCCGAAATTAAACATATTTATCAGAACAACATAACGGTATACACGTTTATGAAATCGAGAGTTCCGATCATCCCAAAAGTCCACGAATATACAAAATATACATACGAATCAACAATAAACCGAATGAATTCTAACTTCAAACCAACTTTCGATAGACCGAACACAACATATATATAACATGCGATATATGAAAACGATCATAATAAAGAGAGGATTCAGATAAGTTACCCGACTTCGGGAAATTACGAATGATCGAACGAAAAATGGGCCCGACAGCGGGTCGGACGAACGGACCTCGAAAACTCGAAGAACGGCTTCTGCTACGATCTATCAGACGGACTGAGAGTGCTGCTCGCGAACGGGAGAACGTACTAGTTGCTGCGGGACCTCGTTTGGACGGACGGTTCGACGGCTAGGGTCTGCTGCTCTCCACGATGTATGGGGGCTGAGGTTCGGCGATGGAATTTCTCGCCAGGAACAACTTGCTGCGACGAGGAAGGTGAGTTGAACGACAGAGGTGCGGCCTACTCGGACTAAATGGTCGGCTGCGTGGTTGCTCAGGGGTTGCCGTCGCCGAAGATGATGGTGGCTTCGCTGGAATTGCAGGCTTCAAAAATTTATGTATTCTGCTCGATGGCGATGGAGGAACAGAGGTGGGGATTGTCTGGGTATGACCCTTTGGCCGAGTCTCAAGTAACGATCAGATGAGAGGACGTGCGAGTGAATCTCGCGATCTAATCGAAACAAATTTTGAACGGGGATAATGACGACTCGGTCTTTGCGGCGGAGATAATGAAGAAAAGGAATTCGTCAATTTTTTCGCACGTGACCAAAATTAATTGTTCTCAATTTGGGCTAAATGATACAAAATGGATTTGGGCCAACATTACTTACAATAAAAATAGCCCAAGGAAGAATACAAAGGTTTTTAGGTTGAAAAGAAAAAAAAATAGATCACTTATTGGGCCGGGTCGGTTTCGATACTAACGAATATTCGGGGCTCACCTTGATAAAATAAATAATAGAATTAAATAATATATATACATAATACACATAACAATATTTAGTAATAGGCAATTAAAACAATTAGACATATAATGAGGATAATAATAATAACAATGTTAAAATGCTGATCTCAAAATATTCATAAACAACCGTATAAATATATATATATATATATATATATATATACATATGTGTATAATACACATTTTATTTAATAATAATATTAGGCAATTAGACAAGTAATGATAAATAAATACACAATAATAATAATATGACAAATAATAATAATAATAATTAATCAGTAATTATTCTCAAATAATCCATAATCAAACGGAGTATTACAGTCTATCCACCTTACAAAGAATTCCGTCCTCGGAATTCGAAAATAAGCGTCTAAAAAGCGTTAGAACGCAAAAGGAATATCAAAACATGAGATTTGGTATTCCCTCTGATTCTCGGTTTCCTCTCTTCCAAGTCGTCTCGCCCTCGACTTGGTCGGGAGTCCTCATGGAACAGAAATAACCTGGCCGGAGCCTCCTCTCTTACCACGAAGCTCCCCACTTCACGTTGTACAATAATGCAATCTAGCACAACAACTCCTAAAGGTAAAACCTCGACAGTTGCCTCACTTCATTAGTCCTCCAAGGAAGACTTAGGTCAATGCAATACACATGAAAATTTCCCAAAATCGATACGTATTTACACGCTAGAGACTTGGCAGCAGTGACAAGAATGGCTGGCCTGGCATGCGGCAACGCGGCACGCTACCTGCGGCACACTACACACGACACTTCCTACAACTCGAGATGCATCACCAAGCGTGGCACGCCTGTGCGCGGCACCAACACGCAGTACACCTGCACCGCCCGCATCCAGTAGCTACTGTTCATTTCTCATCAGCTGTTACATATCCCCGTTTCGATATGTATACGAAGATCGAAAATTACCTAATGCTTTGCGACCCTAATTCCAATTTCAATATCCAAGTACTCCGACTTCGCTGTCAGGGTACTCGTACTTCTTCATGAGTCAATTGGCTGATTACTCACGATGTTTCTCATAACTCCTTGGCTATCCTCCTTAAAAGACTTCTTCTCGATCAGGTAGGCGAAGACTTCCTCGTAGGATCCTCCGGCATGATGCTCCATTCGTTCACAAAAGGATGATTGAATTACGCCTAGGCCCAGGTGTTCTCAAGAGTTGCAACATTATTCGCCCTCTTGAATTACGCCTTAAAGATGTCATGAAACAAAACTCCTAAATTACGAGAATAGAAGTCCAACGGAAAAATAAAGACTCTTAACTCCATCCGAAGTATCATTCTATAGAAAAGAAAAGGCAAATGGAGTTTCAAAAATTACTGAAATTGATAATTTAAGAGAAGTCGCAAAACAATATTCAAACTTGTCTAACAAGAAATAGGGAATTAAACAAGGTCTGCCAAAAAAGTACGAGAAATGCAATTCAAACAAAAGAAGGGACAAATAATCATCACAAATTCGACATTCGATCCACTGCTCATCCTTGGTTCTGCTCGGCTTCATACTGGGCCATCGTGTATACCCGTGCTCGACATCCTTCGCCATACCTTGGTTGGGTCTGCTGTTGCTGCTGCTGGTGCTGAATCTGTTGTTGAGGCGGCCGTGGGGGAAGCTGTTGATGTTGGGGCTGCCGCAGCTAGAGGGGTTGCTGGTAAGGCTGTTGCCTCGGGGGCTCGGTGCAGTTGTTGTAAAAGTGGCCGGGCTTCATGCAGTTGAAGCAGACTCGCCGGGCAAAACGGCACACTCCTGGATGATAATGACCACAGTTACGGCACTTCGGAAGCTGGTCCTGAGCGATGGGCGCTCACCACGACGGTCATTCCCGCCACGCTTCCCCTCCTGGTTGTCCCGGTGGGAATAGGCCTTCCTCTTACCCGAACTAGAGTCGGGCGGTGCGGAGGAGATGGGCTGAACTAGCTGAGCAGAATGGACAGAAGTATGGAGAGTCTGATAACTCTCAAGCTGGGTGGCTCGAATAACAGTCTCATCAAAGGAAAGATCCCCCTGGCTAGCA